GTGTGTGTGTGCGTGTGTGTGTGTGTCCGCCACGCGCACTGTTTGTACGCGTTCTTCCCTTCGTCGCTGTGCGCGAGGCCGCTCCCCGAAAGAATGTGTGTGTGCGTGTGTGTGTGTTTGTGTGTGTTTTTGCGCGTGAGTGCGTGCGTGCGTGAGAGAGAGAGAGAGAGAAACAAAAAAATGTGTGTGTGCGTTTGTGTGTATATGTGTCTTTGTCTGTGTCTGTGTGTGTGCGCGTGTACCCTCCCCGCCATCCTCGCCGCCGGATGGCCGATGTCGGTAGGGCCGCATCCCAAGTGATGCTTGACGGGCCTGGCCACCGCGTGTGCTGCCTTTACGCCGACGCCGCCTCGCCGCCTCTCGCCAGGCCGCTGCCGCCAAAAAGTGTGTGTACAGTGTGTGTGTGTGTGTTGGTGTGTGCTGGTGTGTGTTGGTGTGTGTTGGTGTGTGTTGGTGTGTGTTGGTGTGTGTGTGAATGTGTGTGTGAATGTGTGCGAATGTGTGTGAATGTGTGTGAATGTGTGAATGTGTGTGTGTGGTGTGTGTGGTGTGTGTGGTGTGTGTGGTGTGTGTGATGTGTGTGATGTGTGTGATGTGTGTGATGTGTGTGATGTGTGTGATGTGTGTGATGTGTGTGATGTGTATGATGTGTGTGATGTGTGTGATGTGTGTGATGTGTGTGTGATGTGTGTGATGTGTGTGATGTGTGTGATGTGTGATGTGTGTGATGTGTGTGATGTGTGTGATGTCTGTGGTATGTGTGATATGTGTGATATGTGTGATATGTGTGATATGTGTGATATGTGTGATAGGTGTGATAGGTGTGATAGGTGTTATATGTGTGATATGTGTGATAGGTGTGATAGGTGTGATACGTGTGATAGGTGTGATATGTGTGAGATATGTGATATGTGTGATATGTGTGATATGTGTGATGTGTGTGATATGTGTGGTATGTGTGGTATATGTGGTATGTGTGGTATGTGTGGTATGTGTGGTATGTGGTGTGTGTGTGTGGTATGTGTGGTATGTGTGGTATGTGTGGTATGCGTGTGTGTGTGTGTGTGCGTGCGTGCGTGCGTGCGTGCGTGGTGTGTGTGTGTGTGTGCCCTCCTGGCTGAGCCATGATGGCGTATGGCGTGAGCGCAGGTGCGCCTGCAGTTTTCGTATCGTTGATGTGGTCACTGGCCGTCTACAGCTTCGTATCAAGTCGTATCGTTCCGTTCACATGTCCATGGCCGTCTATCGTTCCGTATCATGTCTGGGTCTGGTTTTGTCTACAGTTTCGTATGGTTTCATCTGTGCTTTTGGCCTCCCTGTTTCCCAGCGACGGTGTCCCAGGGAAGCTCGCGGCGCAGCGCAGCTGATCGGCGGGGTCCAAGGCCTCAGACCCCTCCAGCAGGTCTTTGCTTCGGATGCAGTGGCCCCTCCCTGGGATGTTTTCCAGGCCGCTCGCTGAAAGCACGTGTACCCCCCGGATCCGAATCCATCTTCAGCGCATCCCTTTTTGACTCATCGATCGTTCGTGCTCAAGTCGTCTAATTACTGTTTGGGCGGGCCGAGATCCAATCTGGCACAACAGCCTTCTACTGGCTGTATTTCCTTCAACTTTTCCCCAACGGTATGTACCTCTTCCAAGGCTGCTGCACGTCTGACCGGGAGGTGCAGGCACAGCTGGCACGAGGGTTGAGACCAACCAACCCTAGCGTTAGAAGGGAATACATGTTGCTCTTCCTGTTGAGGCCCCCCATCCCCTGCAGTGCCCCTCGTCCCTGGCACCTCCATATGGGGCTCCAGAGGACGTAACTCCTAGGAGGCTAAACTCAGCATCGGCGCCAGTACCTCCGTGGTCGGAGACCGGCCTTATCGGGCACAATCCCGCTCGACCCTGCTCAATCCCACTTCATTGGGCTCACTCCCCAGCTTCACCCCGCCCTCTTCAGGAGGGAACGCAAACACACACAGACACAATGAATCGTCGATCCCCCGGAAGAGATGGAAAAATATAAGGGAAGTGTGGGGGGGAAGACCAAAACCCAGAAGA